TATTTAGCTTAATTCATCCACCCATCTATTGTCCAGTTGGGGGTTATAGGGTATCCTATCCCAGTTGTCGTAGGTTTCCATCATCTTGCTAAAATAAGCAAAGCCTTTTCCTGAAAAAAAGATGTCTGGATAGCATTATTGGTGTTTTCACAGTAGTTCAAGGTTTCCGTGTGCACTCATGCACCACCATGAATGGTTCAGGAGTTAATCATCCACCAATTGAAAGATCATTCTCTAGCTCCTCCAGTCGGCATGTTGCATGTCCTTGGGCAAAATACTGAATGCTAAATTCAGTATTTTGCTGATACTGTGTGATCAATCATCAGAGTTTGTGAGTCTGTGTATAATAGTTAGAAAGCTCTTAAAGGCACAGAATAAACCTCTGTTTGAATGAATGTGTGAAGGTGTGACTGTGGTGTGTTGGTGACTTTTGAAATGAGCACTGATAACAGGCTCTCTTCTTTCTACTTGAAGCGTCCATAATTTTATGAAAATAAGTTCGGATTGGCTGTCAGGACCTTGTATTGTCTATAAAAGTTTATGAGCCAGTGTGGGAATTGATTTTTTCAGTCTTCTAGTTGTCATAGTTATTTATTTGAAGTGAATTGCTAGCACATTAAATAAGCATTTATACAAAACAAAACAACTGGAAAAACTCTCTAAAATTACGTGATTCTGATTTTGTGTCCTACATTTATAGTAATGTGCAAAAGGACACGACTTTCAGATACTGTTTACCTAGGCCAGTCACTTCACATAGAACAAAAAACCCAATAGCTCTTTGGGAATTGTTATCATGAATTCAATATGCCTGTCAGACATTATGTTTTGGTCTTTTGTTTTTTTGTCTGCTGTTACAATAGTTAAAATTGTGTTTTTGCTTAGTTGTCTTATCTGTTTTGTGTCAACACTGGTTCATCCCTTGAGTAAAGTGCAATTTTTATGCCTGAGTGATTCATAGGTCAGTGCTGTTAAGTGGCTTAGCAAAGAAAAGAGAAAACTATTCCTTTAAAAATGATCAAGTACAAAGGCTGGAAAATCAGTGCAAAAGCAGCCAATGTCCAAAAAAATACTTTGAAAGACCTTCAGAAAACCTAAAGACAACAAAACAACAAAGTCTGGCTGTTTAGAAGCAAAATATTAAGAAACGCTGACTTTTACACGCAACTTTTGGTAATGTGTGAACATTACTTCCATTTTTTTTCATACCTGTTTAGGACAAAAAGGAATCAGCTACGATTTATTCAACAAACACCGCTGCGCCTAATGAAGGCTAGACACCGGTTTTAAATAAAAGGAACAGCACTTTGCTATCAAATAGCTATCGAGTATTTGTTCTGCCCTTGTATGCATTTGCTCAATAAATGAACTCTGCCACTTTATATTGTTGAGGGAAATATCCAGAGCCGAGGTTGAATTTGAGTTATTTCTGGTAAGTAAGCAAAACTCAGACGAACTAATAAATCTGTTTCACTTCATAAGCTCCTTGTGGTCAGTTTAGCACTAAATTCAAATTATTGACAAGACAATGTCCTTACATGAGTTAATTGCTGCTGTAGTTAACATTTTTAATTGAGTGAAAAGCCATTTGACCCTGCAATCAGCCCGACAATCTTGGAGGCAAAATGAATACCGCGGCACGGGGAGGAGGGGGGTTTGCAGTTCTCCTAAGAAACAATTATTGCCGTACAACACCACTGCCAAATTCACTCTCTCAGTCACATGGTGTTTGTCTCTGGAATGCTTTTCAGCGCTTTTTAATTCCCAGCTCTTTTTTGTATTCCAATACTGTCCTCACAGAGGGGCCATGTGATTGCCTCTTGATTAATTTAGCTGAGTGCATTCATATTGGATCTTTAAATGCTTATCAGCGTTAGTGGGATTACATGCTTCATTATGTATGTAATAGTTGTTTTTTTCCAGTGTGACTGGAAATGTATGTTTATTGCAGACTCTGGTTTATGTTAGGGTTGTGCGTCCCCCCCAAAAGGCTTTATTTCTCGTCTTTTAATTTTTGAGGTTGTCCTTGCTCTGTTGCTAAGGTAACGTGAAGAATACTGGAAGCTCTACTGGGCTTTCAGATATCAATTAAATCCAAGGACATCACAACACTGTACGCATGTCGGCACAGATGGCGGTCATATAAATGTGCCGCGCGCGCGCGCGCGCATGCATTGCATTTATGTGCGTTCCTTCCGGTGCAAACGCGTTTGTGCGAGCGGGCTGCACATGTGGATGAATGCGTGCGTCTTTGTGTGCTCATTCCCAGACGTATTCCACTTAGAAATAAAGCGGGCTTCCTCTCTCACCCCTGCGCTGTCACTCAAAACTCTAATTGGCCTGGAGTCTCTTGAACACGGCTCTTTGAGCATGATTGTACTCTTGTTTTCTTCTCTGTTCTGTTTTCTCTCCGCCCTTTGGCTCTGCAGGCTGGCTGGCAGGCAGAAAGGCACCGGCTCACCTATTGTACAGGCCCAGGGAACACAGCTATGGGCTAAATCAGTGCAGAATGTAAAACACAGATGGCCATTGACTCACAAATGGGTTCATGGAAAATGAGAGAGTCTCCTGTGTCAAACTCTGCTGAGTCTACCATGGAGCACCAGGCTTTTTGCTTTTCATTCCTCTGGATCATCTGTCAGTCCGGCCATCCTTCACACTCCCAGCCTCCTCTCTTTTTTCTTTTTCCTCCTTTTCTACACTCTACTTTCTCACATGCTTTCATAACACACACACACACACACACACACACTCCTCTCTCTCTCTCGCTTCTTTTCTTCTCCATCCTTCACTCTTCTGGCATCCTGGCCTCCCTCTCTCTTTTGTCGCCTCAGGCTTATAGTCGGGGTTAATTAGCATTGAGTTGAGCTGTGTTTAATGGTTAATGTGGTTTCTTCCTGTAATACCACACCCTCCCCTCTCTGCAGTTTCTACACCTATCCTTTGCAGGCTGCCAAGCAATCGTATTAAGAGAGGCGGCCTCGCCTTTCTGCGTACATACCTACCTGCTTTCTTTGGCTGTCTGTCACTTCGCCTACCTACACGGGATACAGACCATATGCCCAAATCAGCATGTACACATCCCTCAATTTCTCTTTCTCTCAGGGATGAGAGTGGATGAGTGGGAAGGAGCGGTGAAAAGACACCGAAAAGGCAAGAATGAGGTAGCACCATATAATAAGAACCAGGTGAGAGAAGGGCGATGGGAGAGACGAGGGCTACAATATGCGGGGAGAAGAAGTGAGAAAGACAACGCGATAGATCTGACAGGGCCTGCGTGAGATTGAACGTGGGGGAGAGATGAGACGGGATAGAAAGAAGGAGCGAGAAGGCACAAGCCGGGAGAAATGCTGCCAGTACCTGCTGCTCTGCTTTCTTTGGGTGGAGGAAAGAGGGGGCTTCCATTGCTATGCCGCACCACACGGCAGCCAGAGAGCAGGCTGAAGTGGAGGGGAGTGGATGTGAAATTTTAATCACCTCTCTGTGTTTGTAATTTTAGTAGCCCCCTCAATCAAAATCAAATCCATTGCCAGCAACTTCAAGAGCAATCCGCTGGCAGTCTACTGCATAGCCCGCTGTTGAAGTAGTGTGTTTAAATAAGAAGGGTGTCTTGCAGCAAGACTGCAATGCAAAACAGAGAAGTGTATGCATGCACTCGTTCATAGTTCTCTGTCAAAACTGGCTACAACTACAATATTATAGGTTTTGGATACTATTGGCCCTGGATAAGTAAGTGTTGGTCCTCTTGTGCTTTTACAGTATGATATCTGTCTTTCTTATGGTCTAGTTTATTCTTTTTTTTTATTTCAGATGCCCATACAGAAAGAATAAAACACTGCAAGACTTCCCAGCATACAGCAAAAGTCAGTCAACAAGAAAACTAACAGGAAAATTGAAGGGGCATACTTTTAATTTCCATCAAAAGTGCACTAATAGTTGAACTCTTCATTGCCATTACACGTAGTACAATGAAAGTGTGGTACTGTCCCACATCGGCGCTTAAAGAAAGCCTAGCAAATCACAATAAATAATAAGATATAAACAGAATAACATATGTTCAATATGTGCAGAGACATTTGGTGGTGTTGATGTTGGCTGGTCTACCGCTTGTGTGGAAATATTCTTATGCTGGTTTGGTGCATTTGCAGCGCTCAGAGCTTGCATGCATTCTTGACATCTGTAATTTTGATGAACGTGCTTATCAGGCGTTAAAGCAAATAATCAAAATAGAAAACTTAAAGTTATCCTCTAAGCTTCCTGTTATAATTCAGGGGCCAAATTTCCGCACATGTAAAGAGACGACATGACAAGGTGTTCATCTTCTAGCCTCTTATTTCGAGTCCATGTTTTTGATCCCTTTGTGTTTCTCATTTTTCCCCTCACAGAATTGATTTGCACAAATTAACACCACCTTTCTCAATTAGTCACCATTTTTTGTGTGTGTGTGTTTAGATACAGATTTTTTTTGTTGTTGAGGAAAAATGATCCATTTAGTGTTTAACTTTAACGCAAGCGATACGTTTCTCTGAGCTGTACAATGTGAACATATGTCGAGAACATATGTTTAATTCATACATAACAGTGTGTGTAATTCAAGCTTAAATATTTTACTTTGTGCTGAGCTCCCAGCTGTAGATTTCATGACTGTCTTTTTAAACATTTTTCTGGAGTTATAGTGTAAAAAAATCACTTATTTGTCATTGATCACTGATGCAGAAGGGAAAATGTCACAAAGCAGCCTGTAAAGATTCAGATACACTAAAATACAGTTAAGAAGTGAAAGTGGCATGATCCCACCAGGTCAAAATAATGGAAAACACTGACACATAACAGTATTTTACCTGCATCTTCTAGATCAAACGATTTGACCAAAAAAAGTAAGCGGTAGTCCATAAACGTCATGATCAGGGTTTATTAATGGTTAGAAATGATGACTGCGTAAAAAGCTTTTAAAATAAGGAGCTCTTATTTTTTTATTATTATGTTTGTATCTTATACAGACAGGATATGTGAAGCTGTCCAAGCCAGTGGCCCTGTGGACCCAACAGGACGTGTGCAAATGGCTGAAGAAACACTGTCCCAATCAGCACCAGATCTACAGCGATTCGTTCAAACAGCACGACATCACAGGTAGTTTTTGGCACCTGTACAGTGGCTTGATTTGAGGAGGTTTCTAGTAGCTTGTTGCTCTTTTAAAACCTGGTTGATTTTTTTTCCATTCACATTCATGATCAATAGGATAAGACGAAATGGATGTATAGATACTGAACTGCTATATCCGCTATATTAACAGTTTAGCCGAACTCATAGTGGCGGCTTTTAACGTAACATTACAAACATGTTTCCATATGATATCAGTAATTAAATAAGCGCACTTCTGAGATACTCACTTCCTGAGAGCTCTGTGCAATCACAGAGGTTAAGCTAACTATAGAATTTAAAGATTTAGCATTTCCTGCCCGGTAAACTCCAATTTTTTATTACCGGCTTGTTTAGAAAAGGTGCGACATGCATGTGTGAAGAGTTTAGATATATTTGCAGCCACCTTTGTCAGATCTTTGCTAACTAATTAAAGAAAGTAAGAAAAAACAAAGCAAATCTGTTTTGCTCCTGAAAAAGTGCTAAAGTGCAAGTAGCATAATATTGATCACTATGCAGCAAATATCACAACGTTAAATCACTGAATATCTCTCTTTGGAGTCAAGTTCATGAAACTGGTACATTTATCACATCTGCTCTTGACAAAACCAGATCTCATTCATAACATCCCAGGTGCTCTCTGCACCCACTGTCTGCCACCTGCCACCCGGCCTACATCCCTCGCTTCCCACTTTCAGCGTTCCCGCCGAAAACAGCCGGCCACGTCAATCATCTTCCTAACGAGGCTACTCAAGGTCACTCTGACCTAACGACACTCCAGCCCGCGTGGCAACAGACGAGCGCTAATTGCCGCACTCTCTACCTCTCAGAGCACGAACGATCGCATTAATATGTTTATTTGTTGCTGTCGAGGACCTCCTCGACTCAGTGACTGGCTGGCAGGATAAATCACTTGGTGGTCATGATGAGTGGTGTAATGACTCACGCTCCCGTTTCACCCGTTGATGCATTTGTTCTGTTATACGTCTGCACAGAGGATTTTGAGATTTAGCATCTTCTGTTTAATGGCCTGAAAATATGAATCTCGCCGCTTTGCAGCTCAAGTTGCAGATATATCTCATCACCAGCATAGAGGTCTGAGAGATCCAGCAGTTCATTGCACGCTTGCTGAACCACTGCTGCGTTTTTTGTTGTTTTTTTTTTAAATCCATTGCAAGCGAAGGCATTTCAGCAGATTTCATTTTGTTTTCTTTTCACTCAAGGTAAAAGCTAAAAGTGATGTATTGACGAGTCACTTGTGAAACATTAGCTTCTGGTTTCTGTGGACTGATTCGGAGCTCGTGTGCTAAATAAAATATTTGCCGATTCAGATGACTTACAAGGCAAATATAAAAGGACGATTTAAAGGGCCTGCCTCTGAAAACACTCTTAATCATGCAGTTAGAGCGCTTATCCATCCACTCATTTGAAATTTCTCATGAGGTCCATATCTGAATACGGAAAAATTAATCTAACTTTAAGATTAAACACCTCTGTGTGCCTAACATTTCTAGTGCATCCAGTTAGTCTGTAAATTAATTACACTTTTAGTCTCCCAGTTAATAAAACCCTGGAACCTAGCTTCCTAATAGTGTATTAACTTAATGACCTGTGATTGTTATTAAGGTGTAATAATGTTTGCGGGCTCTAACAGGTGTGGAAAGGGTTAACCAAATGAAAACTCATGCGCATATTGTACACACACGCACGCACACACATACACATTCACACTGGCACAATTAGGAGATAATGACATGCGCAAAACCTGCAAGTAATTCAGTTTGTCTTCACATTGAGCATTAATTAACAGAGCCCAATTAAAACAGGCCAAGCCACACCAATTGGGCTCACGAGGCAATTTGCATCCCAATCAATCTTTGAAATATTATGCAGATATTTTTCTGTTCCTACACTCTATTAGAATAAACAAGGGGGAAACAAATGATGGAATATTGTTGTGGAAAACAATCATGCGTAGACAAACAAACAGTGAGTATGAATACATTTATAAGAGCATGCAGGCGTGCGTCTGAGAATATCTATTTGTTCAGTGTGCTTGTCAGCCATGAGCTGTGACCCTTGAAAATCAGAACCATGCGTGCATGTGTGTGTGTGTGTGTGCGTGCGTGCACGTGTGTATGCATGAATAGATTTTTGGCTTTTTAGCATCGGCGTCTCTAGACCGTAGCAATTCTTGACTGTATTTTCTGACAGAAAAGTCAGCCCTCTTTTTGGCTGCCAGCGGTACTCAATCTCACTTGTCTTGGCAACGTAGTCGTCCCTTCATAAAGTAGCAAATCAATAAACGGTCTCTATTTCAGATCATAATTCAAACAGGCATTTGTGTCCTCCCGCTCCTGACATAAAACAGCGGCGAGGGAAATGCATTTTACTGCGGATCAGGACTGGTGCAACATTTTAACGTTGAGCGACTTCAGTATGCAGCAGCTGGCTTCCTTCTAGGCTCCTCTAACCTCTGCCAAAGAAATCAATGTTTCCTATCCTCCCTCCAGCCTCTGCTGCCAAGAAACCCTTTCCCTTCCTCAATCTTCACCTCCCACCCCCAACAGAGACGGCAGCGAATTTGACTTTAACACCCAGCTGCCATTAAAAATGCATTAAAGCATATTAAGGCATAATTAGATATTAGTCCCTAATCCGTTGTAATTACAAAGACAAAGCTCTTTTGGTTGAGAGAATAGCTTGGCATGGTAAATTAGTTAAACACACCGTTTCTGATACTTTAGATGTAATCGGCATAAAAGGTGCAATGACATAGGTAATCAGAAGCAAAGAGGATGAAGGAGGAAAAATGGTCGAGTCGCTATTAACTTATATTTTCTGTCAGAGGAGACCATTACATCACAGTGTGGAAATTCAGAGCGTCTCTAAGGGCGTACAGTGACTGAATTAGAAGCAGCTGTGGAGGCTGGCTGCAGGGGCTGGTTTTAGAAAACTGTCGAAGATGGGGGTCCAGATTTGAGTGCAGTGGGTTTGTTTTTTTTTTTTTTTAGGATGAACCACATTTATACAACAGTTTTCAAGTTGGGATTGGATGAGATGGTAAAAATTTCCAACCGGTCGCTGTCACACTAGCATATGCCAGGGTATTTGTGGTGGTGCTTGTGTGCCTCAGGGTTACTCACAGGGTGTGTTTTTTTTTTTTTTAAAGTTACCATCTGTTTATATTTATAGTTTCATACTTTTAAAAAATGTGAATGTGTCTTGCGGTGAAAAGCACTTTGAATCGTCATCAGGACAAAAAAACCACACTATATAAATGTAACTCATAACCTAAAGAGCATTTGTTTCATGAATGCATGATTTCTACAGACTGCTTCCAGGTAATAGATGAGAATGCAAACAGCAAATGAGTCAAAGGGACTAACATGGCTCCAAATCAAGTGGCGAGCCACATAAAAGACCCATCGGTGGTTGTTGTTTGAGTGATTGAGTTGTGCAGTGAGCTGATGAGCTCTTAGGGGGACAATCTGATCCACAGGCAGAAGTGGTTGGTTAATGAAACCATTAGCAAGGCGATTACATGTCAGTGTGTTACATGTAATTAATTACTGTCCTGCCAATTGCGTGTTTAGAAAATGGCGTTCTTAATTTTCTTCATATAGAGAATTAAAAATTAATAGTGATATAATAATAAACTGAAAAGAGATATCCGTTTATTGATGAAAAGAGGGAAAAAAATAATGTCTCGGCCCAAAAGAGAAGCGCAGATATCCAAGTGATTGCAGCTCGTGTACCAGTGAGGCTTTTGTAACGATTTTGAGAAAATGGGACATTTATTCAAAGGCAACTTATCTCATTGCCACTATGTGTTCATATGATTACAGTCTCAAGCACAGTAATCGTGTCACACTGTTCTGCTTATGTCTCCCAAGTATTTTACTAGTGTTATTCAGCAATGAAAGCAAAGCCTGAAAGCAGGCAGTGCCTTAGAGAAGCCTGAAGGCATGTGCATGCTTTTTTTCATTTTTTTAAAATGTTCTTATTTTATTTCAATTTTTTCTTCAATTTCAATTTTTTTTTTTTTGAATGACATGCATTAATTATATACACAAATTAGGAACCCTGGTTCCAAATTGCTTCCACTGCTTTAGCCTACCTATGAGTTATAATGAGGAGTAGGCAACGTGATTGGAATTCATATCAATTTACTTCTCTTGAATAATGTTAATTTGGGTTTATAGGGGTGTATACTGAGCTCTCTCCTGTCCTCACTCTACACCTACGCCTGCACGGCCACTAACATCTACAATTTCATTGTGAAGTTTGCGGATGACACAACAATGGTGGGTGACAGTTTACAAGGAGGATGTCAGTGCCTTTAAACTCCAGTGCTAAGACTACAACTCACCCTCAATGTTACAAAACCAGAAGAGATGATAGTGGACTTCTGGAGGTGTAGAAGAGCACATCACCATCACCATCAAGAGTGAACAGCTTCCGTTTCCTAGCTGTACATCTGGCGGAGGATCTGACATGGTCAGTTCACACGAACAACATACCCCTTCATAGACAGCACAGTTTGATGGGAGTGACAAACCGCGCTACCCATGACACTGTGCTACCCATGACACTGTGGTACCCGTGAAACCATGCTGCCCATGAAACCGCGCTGCCCGTGAAACCGCGCTACCCGGTAAACCGCGCTACCCGGTAAACCGCGCTACCTGGTAAACCGCGCTACCCGGTAAACCGCCCTACCTGGTAAACCGCGCTGCCCGTGAAACCGCAGTGGTGGGTCTTATCACCAAAGTTGACCGGTGTGGCGTCTCATGTGACGTCATGCAGCCTTTGTAGACGGCAGCGTGGTGTTACGTCAGGGGTGTATACTGAACTCTCATGTACTCACGCTACACCTACAACTGCACGGCCACTAGTATCTACAATTTCATTGTGAAGTTTGCTGATGACACAACAGTGGTGGGTGACGGTTACAAGGACGATCTCAGTGCCTTTAAACTTTATTGCTA